TTAAATTGGCTTTGTTAACATTGCTGTAATTAGGGCAAGTTGTTGTGGTGCGGAACACACTTGGTTATGCTTACAATTAAATACAAAATAGGTTTTCCTTTGTTTCATTCTTAAGCGCGCATTGATGACGATAAAAGTGCGAAGTAAAACTATTGATGAAACGAGCCAATGGTAAACCGAATTCGACAGTGCCTAAACTTTATAAACATAATCGAGCAGCTAAAATCTGCTCTTATCACCGAAAAGAACCCTTTCAAACAGTCGCCGGCGGGCAATAAATCGCGCAGGATATTTTTCCTCCGAGTGGAAAAAAAGCAGAAACCGTTTCAGGAACGGGGCGGAGTCTCCGTTCGGATCTCGGGATCGTTTCTTTTTTTACCACCCTGTAGAACCATCGATGGTCACATCCTGCCTTCGCCGGCCGGAATTTCTTTCAACGTGGCCGACCATATGAAATAGACGTTTGCCACGGACTTTGCGGAGGAAACCGGGGCCGATTTCGTTCTAGGGCCGAGAGAGCGAAAGAGAGAGAGAGAGAGAGAGAGAAAGTAAATCTTCGGTGGAAGTTGGTTCGTTCGGCTCGAGACACATTGCCCGGGCATCTATCAGTTTCCACGAAATTATTGCGTCGTATCGACGGGAAAGCTTTCCACGGGACAATTAAATTCGTGGTTTAATTTAAACTTCCGCGTCGACCGGTCGGCCAGCGACTGATAAATTCTCGGCTATCGTTGTGCGACATTCTTCAGCCGGTTTCGAATGTTGTCGAACTGTTTTGATCGAGCTGCTCGATTGACAAGTGAAGCACGCGGAACTGTTTGCTCGAGGAACTGATTCTGTTTGCGGAGATCATGGTCCGCGTACAGGATTCATTTAGTTGATTTTCATTAAGCTGTTGCCTACCGGTCGCGCGGAGTGAGTGGATCGGAAATAAATCTGGCCGCGGCAGATGTAGATTCTCAATGAAATGTAATTGCGAAATCGAACGAAGAACGAGGAGAGTTCAGTTGCAAGTGAATCGCTATTGTTAATGCATGTTCGTCGATCGTTTGCACTCCGAGCTATTTTTAACTCGAGATCTAAAACGTGTTTTCTCACCTACGGTGTTTTCATCGTTTTTCTCTTTTATTGCAATTTTTACGCGCGAAATTCAACCTATTCGCAGCATGCTCGCGCTTTTAATTTTTGCACAGTTCGATCGCCCGATGAACAATCTCAAAAAATGTCGTCCAATTGATTTAGACAAATTATATTTGATTAGATTTCGAATATTTGATACAGTCAATTATTCAATTGAAAAGTTAAGTTGTACGATAAGTCGATTATTTTTTGAACAATCGCACGCGTTTTGCGGATCCTAAGCGAATTAGAAAGATACAATAGACCATCGTGATAATTAATTTTCAAATCTGAGCAAATAATTCAGTCATACACTTATGGTTAAAATGGTACTCGAAGCGTTAAATATTAACAAAAGCGGTACTGTTAAAATGATTTTGTAACACGATATGTTATAAACGTGGCAATTTTTTGATAACAGTCAACAGTTTGGATTGCAACAGTAATTCGAGTGCAAAGGGTTAAACGGTGTGCTTCCAAATCTTATCGCCGTCATAACGAAGCGCAATCAAGAGAAGCTTGTTTCTTTTTTCACAGTGCACTGTTATCCTGCACCGTTTAATCATTTTTACCGCACCGAACCTATCAAGGTTGATACCACGGGCCGCAGGGAAAGTTTTAACAAGCAAATCCAGGCTTAAGTGTTTAAAACTAATTGTCTCGTGTGTGCATGTCAGCCGCATTTATAATCGTCCTGTGAATCATATTCTTCCCGAAAGTTCGCCGGGAGTTTAAGTGGCCCGAGCTTATTGCCGCGTGCTAGTTTTTATACTGTTTTCCATAACTTCCAGCCGTAGATATTAAATATCGATTCAGCTTATACAGGCTCTATTTCGCAGTGGTATAACATTTTCGAAGAAAGTTCGATAATCACGGCGAGCTTCTAAAGAGCAATATATTTTAAACTCTGTAACAACTTGTACAATTACGGTCGATATTAAATCGCAATGAAGTTTCTGTAATCGTGAGAAGTACGGCTTCCTATAAACATCGTATTGTCCCGTACAGTTTCAATTTAACTTCTGTTCACCGGCGGAGTAACATCAAAAGACCGCATTACTACGACATCGTGCGAATCAAATTACGAACAGAATTGTTGTACAACCGGTGGCGCGTTATTCGTTGCATACAAAAATCATGCTTCGGAGAATCTTCGTGAACTTCAATCTTCAAATCTATGATAGATTTAGCGGCGAAATTCATTCATTCGAAATTCAATTAATTCGAAATACAATTCATTCGAAATTCAATTCGTTCTATATTCAATTCATCCAATATTCAATTAATTCGAAATTCAGTTCATTTAAAATTCAATTCATTCAACATTCAATTCATTCGAAATTGAATCAATTCAAAATTCAATTAATTCATTTATTCAAAATTCAATCAATTCATTTATTCAAAATTCAATAAACTCAATCATTCAAAAATCATAAATATAAAGGTTAACAAACATGCAGCTTAAGTGTTCACTCACCGATCACTTCACCATAATACAAAATCCTCATTATTTAAACATCCTTTAAACTTCATTATTCAGAGTTCCCAGTACCGAATCATATCAGCCGTACAATTGAAATATTTTACGAACTGCGATACAAATGAAAAAAGAAAAAGGCTAATTTGTCGAAAACTTCGAACGCCGTTACGACGGGCGCAATAATCGACAAGCTGGCCCTATCGTCCCTGTGAAAAAAAAAAAGAAATCATCGGAATAATAACGTTCGAGGGTGACGCAGCGATTACCGAGCCGTCAAACAATATCGAATATTAATGCTTCCTCCGCGGGTCGGCGGGGCTCGCGGAGAAAACGCGGCTGTCCGGCCGCCGGCGGAGTGTAAAGTTCCGGGGTCCCGGAAGTTCTGTTATTGACTGATAGCCTGTCAACCCGATAACTGCGCGCCGAGTAAATAATTTATCGCGACAGAGACCAAAATGGAGGAAACGAGCCGGCCCCGGCCAAAGGATTTTTATCCCCGGCGAATTGACGTTTCGCCGATAAAGTGATCTGCGAGCCACCGGTGCTCCAACACCGGCGCCAGCAACGCGCCGAGCTCCAGCATCGGTCGGACGGGATCCTCTGCCGTTGACTCGGATATCGTGGCCTCGTTTTACGCGTGTATGTACACATCCCGGCGAGCTTCCGTACACAGACCTCCGGTGATCCTTTTAATTATCGAATCGGCCCCGGGTCCCGAGTCCCGGGTCCCGCGCAAAGGGCGGACCGGCAACCGGTTCCTCCAAGTTAAATATACTTAACGGCTCAGTTACGCTTCCGTCTTGGAAACAGTTCGCACCCTTTATCAGCCGAGCGACGCATCGCGAGCCCCCTACGCCACCCAGCCGGAACAGCAGGCCAGGATTCGAGGCGAACAAAGGGAAACGCGGGCGGCAAGATGCAAATAATATCGTCCCCCGCAGACCCCGCGCTAAGCGATCCCCCCTTTGTTTGTTCGCCGGAATTTGCTCGCTTTAAGAACACCTCTGGCACCCTCCCCCTTCTACTGTTAGAACGATAACCTCACGATGCGACGCAGGGGCGCACAATTACGCGATATCGCGGTGGCTGGAAGATTTTTCTTGCAACGACAGCTTCGAGGATACGGCGATACAAAAGTTTAGGGTCGCGTGCTGCGAGCAGCGTTTGCTCGCTGGTATTTTTATTGTTGTTATTCGTTTAGTGTTAATTGGGGATCTCGGTTTTGGACGGGTATTGCGTGTACAGTGAGGTCTCGCTAATTGATATATGCTCAGATTGTAGAGAAAAATGGACAATTTGGCGAGAGGAGATGCGATTAGGCGGGCCTTGCGGATCGTTTTTATAGTTGGCGATTGTTAATAATTATGAAAACGAGATGTAAGGCCGAAATAATCATATCTTCACGTCCCAAATTGTCCATTTTTGCTTACAAGCTGGAGGAAAATTAGGAAGAATTATATATTCTGTATTTCTTAAATCAGTCAGAAAAAAGCTCAGACAATGCTTTCGGTTTTTTCTTCGTCAAAACAGAATGTTAACCCTTTGCACTCGACTGGTGACTCTGAGACACCGCTTAAGATTGTTATATGGCACAGGGAAATAATTGTTACATTATCAAATTTGTTTATTTTCGAAGAACTGTTATATAGACTGTGAATTTGATCCACATAAATTGCGCTAATAAATTATAAAAAATGGAAATACCGTGTCACCCTAAACTATTTCTGATTTAGAGTTGAAATTATCATCGAGTATGAAATGCATAGAATTTATGATAAAATTATAGTCTGAGACGTTGTACAAGCTGCAAAGTAACAGAACAAAACAAATCCCTAAGTCTAGCCGATCATGTTATTAGTAGAACATCTCGTTCCACAAGATTTAATTACAAAGACCCGTTAATTCGATTTTTAAAAGCGCAAATAATCTTCTCCGACATTTTTCCCACCCCGAAGAGTTCACGTTAGGACAAAAAGAGACGCGGTATCTGTTCCATAAAGCATTCTCATAATCGTGAGCTGAAGATAGATTGCGCACCAGCTGAGAAAGTATAATAAAAGTGGCATGTTTTGCAGAACCGTAAATCCATCGGAATATTTGAAGCGGTGAATTTAGGTTGTGCACAGGATAAAGAGAAAAGATAGAAACAGCATCTTGTTCGCAATCGTAAGCCATCGGAATATTTGAGGTACTGAATTTAGCTTGTGCACAGGATAAGGGGAAATAATAAAAATGGCATCTTCGTCGCGATCGTGAGCCGTCGGAATATTTGAAACGCCGAAGCTCGATTGCATACAGATCGTGGCAAAATAATAGAAAACGGCAGCGGCTGTAAGGAGGCGAAACGTTGTACATCAGGACGGTTTGAGCGTTAATATTCGAGATAGTTGAGATTGCTTACCGTTTCCTCCTTCCTCCTCGCACTGTCGAGGGCCGTCGTGAACCAGGCCCATTGACCGAAAGGATCTTCCGTGTTATCGATCGTGATGGCCGCCGTGCGATGCAGCATACGGTTCTTCGTCACGTTCAGCCACAAATTTGTGTTGAGGAAGATGATTCGATACTTTTTCGAGCGCTGCTCTATCGTGTAATATCCGGCTGTAACAAGTGTTTGAAATCGTCGAGTGAGTTGCCAGGAGCTTATGTTCGACTTCCCTCCTCCTGCTCCTCTCCCCCTCCTCCTGCTCCTCCGTAATTTTCTACCCTCAACACTGCCGGCCCCGGGTATTATTAGCTTTTTATTGGCCCGACAGAGAAAGAACTCGGTTATTCCGCGAATAAATTTCGAATTACGGAATCGCGCCGTTCTTGCGAAAGTTTCGGCTGGGATATTAAGGTTTCTGGTGACTGCGCGCAAACATCCGGCAAACTGGTTATTGGACAAATACTTGCAAAGCGTTGGCTGTCGGATCACAGTTTATCCCGTTCGCGGTGTTACGCCCGACCGTCTTTGAAAACCGGGGGGAAGGGATCGGGAAACCGTCCGAAATTAATTTAAAACGCACAATTGTTCGACGTTGAAATTCCTTCGTAGATTAAAAGTGGAGTTTTAAAAGATCCCTCTCTTAAAACTTGCTCGAAAAGTTGTGTTGAACGCGGCCCGCCTTCAACGGAGAACAGTCTTCCCGAAAAGTCATTATAACTCGGACGTTTCTGAAGGTTTCGCGACGAAAGAAATGCTGCGTGTCGCGCAATATTTGCACTTCCGAAATGACGTTTCGAACGTTCCAAGTGTTAAATTGACTGTGAAGTTACTTTAGATGAGAGTCGGGCGATGTTTTCATCGAATAAAGAATTGTTCGAATTATTCGAATAAGAAAGTGTTCGAATAAAGAATTTTTCGAACTATTCGAATTATTCGATTTATTAGAATTATTAGAATTTTTAGATTTATTCGAATTTTTCGAATTATACGAATTGTTTGAATTATTTGAATTATTCGAATTATTTGAGTTATTTGAATTATTCGAAAATGTTCGAATAAAGAATTCCTCGAATTATTCGAATAAGAAAATGTTCGAATAAAGAATTTCTCGAATTATTCGAATAAGAAAATGTTCGAATAAAGAATTCATCGAATTATTCGAATAAGAAAATGTTCGAATAAAGAATTCCTCGAATTATTCGAATAAGCAAATATTCGACTAAAAAATTGTACGAATTATTCGTTGTTACTGATTCTTATAGTGCAATGGTTTATCCAAACGCCACACAAAAACGCGCAATGAGTCCAGAAGGACATAAAAATCGCAGCAGAGAAATCCGCGACATCACAAAGAACGCAACAGCGGAAAGCAAGCGGGGGAATCGATATTTTGACAATCCGTTTTTAGAATGATCGGTACCGTGACAAGGGGGTGGTTTAGCGGCACCGAAAACCGTGTGCCGACTACCCGTAGTTGCAGCGGGTCGCGGTATCGATTCTACCCTGTCTCCGTATTTTCCTGCAGGCTTGTTTACCATTACAAGACACGTATCCCTCGCCGCAGCGAGGAATTTTCTCGTTCCGCGGAGCTTGCCGCCACGCCTCGCGATGGTCCCAGTCGAAGCATTAGTGCTGTTCACAATGATTTTAACGTTGTTTCAAGACCAAAACTTAGAAACCTTAAACTATACATATATATATACTACTAGATACTGTGTTGTGTGTATAGCGCGTGTACAGAAAAGTCGAAGGTTCAGCGATGCAAAGATGAATCACGAAAGATCGTTCGCTCTGATGCGGTAAGATGATCGTTCAAAATGGCTGACACCGCATCAGACTTCAAGCTCAATCCTCGGATGCTATTGGATCCCATTGGATGCTATCTACTCATATTCGCTATCGATCATCGCGTTGCGTGAACCTAATTTTCAACATTTTTTTTAAAACAATGCTGCGCGGGTGTTGTTTCAAATAGTGCAAAGAGGATGAAAATGGCGGCGGGATAGTATAACTTATAATCAGTAAGTATTTTATTACTCTTCATTTGGGGTGGAAGGGGAGGGGGGAATAAGCTAAATATAATATTTTATATCTGATCAATTGAATTTGCTTTCTAAAAATGAAATATTTTCGCATATTCGTTAATATCGAATATTGAAATAACACGTTTGGATACTTTAAAAATTAAGGCGACTTTCCAAGGTAACGATTACGACTTGAAAGAAAATTATATAAAATCAATTACATAAAACGTTGACGATTCTCCTTTAGTCAATTGAATATTAACACTTGAAATAAATCGTAGGCAACGTTTCTGATAGGCAACAGTATTTTGAAGCACGAGAAACGTGCTATTGTTAAAGACAAAAATTGCAAAATATTATTAAACAGGTTCTATCGATTATAAATATTATTAAACAAGAAGACGTCATTTTCACGGTTAAAAAATGCTACAATTGGTACAAATAGTATTAATGGTATAAACGATATAAATGATTAACGCTCATACTCAATCCCTTTCTCTAACTGCAACGTCGAAAATTTATACTCATTTAGACTCATTTATTCCATTCAAATGCGATGGATCTTGTCTAAAGCGACGTACGTTCGATCAAACTGGCTCGCATACGGGCAAGTTGACGTTTTCATCAAACGAGCAGCTGATTCCTCGATCAGGCTTGCCGAAGCAGAGCAAAATCGGGGAACGTGCTCGGGCTCTACTCACCGGTTTGAAACGTGTCCAGAGCTTCCTGCGGCAGCCATTGCTGCCAGACCACGGCCAGTTGCGAGAAGCTTACTCCGAGGTCCTCGTGTCCGAGCGCCGGGAACACAAATTGTTCCTTAAACGTGCGGGACAACAGATCGGTCAAATTCCGCAAACACTGCAGACGTAGCTCGGCGTTCATGCCGGCGGTGCGCGTCAGCGCGTCACTGCAACAAGTAGTTACAACCTCGTTAGCACTGGTTACATACGACGAGAGCGCTGCGAGAATTACTCCGATTCACCGGCAAACAGGAGGAAACGATAGCGAACGGGAACGCGTGTGCACGCCGGAGACTTATTCGACAGGCTTCGACGACCCTCGACGATTCTCGACGATTCTCGACGAATTTTCAAGACACGGGAGTTCCAGATATTCGTAAAAAATCGGGCGAACGCTTGAACAGCGTCGATTTTCTTGCAGACTTTTTTGTACACCTTCCCTTTCATCGGCGACTTTATTTGCACTCCTTTTTGCAATTAACACGTTCGTTCTGCAATTATCACGATTTCGTATCTCGGCTGGAGTACGTCGAATTTATTTCAGGAATGTTGCTATTCGAAACTGTAACGACACGATAGCATGATCTGCAAAGAATTTATAGCTATACTTCGACGACATTTTTATCAAATTTTATAAGACGGTACGATGTATTTAATTGGACGAATAAAATAAACGTGATATCGATAGAATAATTTAACAATCAGATTACATAATTTATGACTCGTTAGAATTATTCAAGACAGAAATAGGCAACTATGCATTTCCTGTTTGTTGCAATCAATGCGTAAGATATTTATTCTACGCAAAGATTCGCAGTCTACTTACGACGATTATTCGAACACTTTTTCATCTGCCTCATGTTTTTACGATTAATCTAGACGATTTTTAAGTTGCATAAAATCGCGCAGGCGAAAGTGGACAAGCTAAAGACAAGACAGAGAAGCTGTAAAAGGAATCGAAGTATATCAAGACATTGTTTTCAGCGACTTAAAATTATCAGACGGAAGAATGCGTCACAATTTCATTGTTTCTATTCTGCTTAAAAATTCACAGTATTGCTGTAAAGATACTCGACGAATTCAAAGGGATTGTCTAAGCTTCTATGTATAATACAACGTCCTCTATACATATAAAATATAAAATACATTCTTTTCAGCGACTTGAAATTATCAGACGGAAGAATGCGTCACAATTTCATTGTTTCTATTCTGCTTAAAAATTCACAGTATTGCTGTAAAGATACTCGACGAATACAGAGGAATTGTCTATGCTTCTATGTACAATACAACATCCTCTATACATATAAAATATAAAAGACATTGTTTTCACCGACTTAAAATTATCAAACGGAAGAATGCATCACAATTTCATTGTTTCTATTTCGCTTAAAAATTCACAGTATTGCTGTAAAGATACTCGACGAATTCAAAGGGATTGTCTAAGCTTCTATGTATAATACAACGTCCTCTATACATATAAAATATAAAATACATTCTTTTCAGCGACTTGAAATTATCAGACGGAAGAATGCGTCACAATTTCATTGTTTCTATTCTGCTTAAAAATTCACAGTATTGCTGTAAAGATACTCGACGAATTCAAAGGGATTGTCTAAGCTTCTATGTACAATACAACGTGCTCTATATACATATAAAATTAAATTTAAGTATTTATTACACTGTACCGTTGTTGCTGTCGTCGTCGTCCAATAAGTAAGTAGTTTAACCATGACGAGATAAGATCCTATTGTGTTCGACTATTACTCGACAAACGGACGTCTCTTTAGCTGGGCGCAGTTTGTGCGTCTCTAATAGTTAGGTCGTTACGTCCTCGCTAATTTCCATGAAGGGAATCGGCCAACAATGCGTTGTAACTCATCTCAGATACGTACGAACAAAAGGACGCAGGAAATAGACGAGAGCTACACCATTCTCTCCGTCTAATTGTCGAAACATTGTGACGATTATACATTACAATGGAGACGGAATATTGCATTTAATCAGATCGGTCCTAAACTTCGGCCGCTCGGACGTCGAAGTTACGTTCCGGACGGAAGATTATGCGAAATAATTAATTAGCCGGTGTAACGATGTAACAAGGAGAAGTAAGTTAACATCCGCGTAAGACGATAATTAATTGGCCGACTCGCGTAACGAACGAGAGACGTCGAATGTATACAAGCGCTGTCTTTTGTTAATGCATCGAAAATAATTGCTTATTAAAAGTTCACTCGGTTCTTTCATTTCGCGGTTCGAAAAAGGTATACGGCTCAATTATTGGAAAAATCTTTCGTTCGATAGTCTTGTCGCGGCTCCTCCCGCGGTACGATTTGCCATTTGTTACGCGTCCCGAAGCTCGAAACTAAATTGAAAATGCTGTATGATTTATGTATAGCAATTTAAAGCGGCCACCGGCCGAAAAGTTCCGGCAGTCGAGTGCTATGAATCGGGAAAAGTAAGTCGAGCGCGACCGTGGATATTGCGTTTTCTCACATGTCGTTGGAAATTAATTGGTAACGCCGGGCGAAACCGTGCTAAGAAACTTCGCGGGACTGGTGTGGTACGTTCGGAAGTTTCGACTCTGATTTGCCCTCCCGGAACATCATTGGGCAAACACGGTTATCGCCGATCGTGTGCCGATACGCCTCGATCGAAAACTCCGACGATGCCCGATACGAGTTTTGTTAAAACAGCGAATTCTACGAGTTTACGCCGTGTTGATATATGAGACCGGTTTAAACTTCTCTGCTCGATATATCTGATGAAATGAAATGGTGAAATGAAACTAATAATACGTCCGGCGAAATAAAAACCGTTTGCGCTCGAAGCTGTTTCAACTCGAAATCCGGACCATCGTCTCTGAAATCCGATAGCTACGTTTTACACGATTCATTGGAAATTGCTTGAATTTTTAGCTATTTTTGAAATTTCATCAAATTTGATGTGGAAATTATTAAATTAATTATTTGACGTGGAAAATGTGTATAAATTTGTAGCGTAACAGTTCTCAATGGTGCCTCGGAGTCGCCCATTCGAGTGCATAGAATATACAGTAATGTCTCTCTTACTGACGCTCAGATTGTCCACTGAAATGGACAATTTGGGCGTCAATTAGAGAGACATTGCTGTAGTCCTTTAAAAATTGAAAATAATCATCTAATCGTCGATTACAGCGTCTCGATTTTGTCCTTCGTTCGACTGCTCCGTGATTTCCTAAATGGCCGAATCGGAATACAGTAATGTCTCCCTTACTGACGCTCAGATTGTCCACTAAAATAGACAATTTGATAAGAGGAGATACGATTATTCGAGCCTTGTGGCTCGTTTTTATAATTGTGAACAATTTATAACCATAAAAATAAATCACAACGCTCGAATAATCGTGTCTCCTCTTCCCAAATTGTCCATGTTTGTGGTCGATCTGGGCGTCAATTAGAGAGACATCGCTGCAGGTCCTTTAAAAATTGAAGATAATCATCTGCTCGTCGATTGCAGCGCCTCGATTTTGTCCTTCGTTCGACTGCCCCGCGTGATTTCCTAAACGTCGAATCGGAATAATTTCACGACAGAATTTGCGATGAAAGATTCGCGCGGCTAACTGCGAAATGAAAGGTCCGAGGAATGAAGTGGTACAAATGGTGAAACTAAGCCGGGAAAATTGTAGGTATCGCGTGAGCACACGTGTCGCTACAGCTTACTCGGCAACCTGTAAAGTTTGAAATGTGATTTGCTGTAACGCTATTAGAAAGATAGCCGTGACTGAAGCCAGTAAATGCTGGCTTTTTACCTCTTACGAATAAGTGACGCCTATTTCTCTGTATCTGATCCGATTTTATACGCCCGTTTCTTTCGCTCGTTTCTCAACCGCGCCGTGCATTTATTACTTCGTGCGATACAAATGTCGTTGCACTTGGATCGAAACGAATCTCGAACGAACCGTGTCGTATTTCGAAAATTTTTGAAAAGCAAATCGTTTCCGATGCAGAGACAATCGCGGAAATATAGTTCGATTGGAACGCTTCGCGGTTTCGTGATTTTATCGTCGCTTATACTTAAAAATATTGTGTACGCACAAATTTTGTTGCAAAATAGGATACCCTTGGAGTTTTTCATAAACTTTTATTTGACTGCTATATGCATTTATAACCTAATAATTGTAATGAAATTATTGTTATACGAATAATCTTGAAGTAGGCATCTGGAACGAAAAATAACAGCAAAAGATGCAAACGTTATTGCAAATCAAATCCTCGTCAAATTATTGTAAACTTTGACTTGACAACTATACGTATTTCTGACCCAATAAGTGCAACGGAATTATTGTTACACGAACAGTTGTTAAGTGGGTCTCTAGAACGAGAGATAACAGGAAAAAAAGTAAAAATACTTGGCACAAAGGGTCGGATCTGTTCGGGGCACGAAACAAAATTGAAAGCTTAAGCAGCGAAAAGTTTGAAATCGAGAATCGCGAGTTACGAAATGCCGGATTTCGCGTGTAGCTTCGCCGAAGCGCGTACGTTGTTCGTGCAACCGTGCAGTATCATCATTGTTCCGCGAGTTCGCTATGAAACGCGATATTAATAGAATGAATTTGGGACACCTTAAACTTTGAATTTCACCGCGAATGGACGTGCTCTTTTCCGGGATCCGGCTTTCATGAGCATTAACTTTAAGTCGGAGATTGGTGTCGTCAAAGTTGCGAGTTGAAAGCAATTTGTCAACAAAATTGTCAGCTCTCGTGTCACGATTGCTGTACGCTGAGATTTAATAATCAGTATAATTTCGACTCGAAGTGCCAATTATTACTACGTTATTTTCACGAAAAAATTAGTAAAGCTTGCCGTTTGTTTTGCCAGCGGTGCAAAGTACACTATTTTAATCAAATCATTTATTTCCATTCGCTCTCGAAATCATCAAATATTCAACGAACGTGTCGCTCGAAACAAAATCTAAGGAGTTTATCACGCGAATTCACAATTATTTGATGCAAACAAATCGAAGAGCGACAGCAACGAAATTCGGAAAAAGTTCGACCGAATGTTTCGCCGAAAGACACAGAGGAAAATGGCAAATAATCTATGTTGTATATAATAAATGTACGTAGATACTGGAGAACGACAAAACGAAATTGGACAGGCGTTTTTATTATCTGTCGAAGCGTATTATAAAAACGGGCGACTTAACCGAGGGAATTATGTCAATCACAACCTTTATTCGATTTGACGAGATAGACAGGAATCGTTGATTGTTCCGACAAATTATTCAGCGGTGTATTAACGTTCGCAATTCAGTCGTCGATAAATTGATCAAACCCCATTAAACTAGCAATTTGCGCTGTTTAATTTATACAGGACACGCAGCCATTGGACGTGCCGCGTTACGCAAACAGAAATTCTTACGGCCCATTGGATCTTTGTTCCTCGAGTTTGCGGATTATCAATTATTGGATTAGTTGCCGCGCGCGCGCGCGCGCCGCGTTAAAGATCGATCAGTTTCGTTTTGATTTATCATCCAATTTACTGATTGCGTCGCGGCCGGCCCTGTAATAATTACCCGTTGATTACAATTTTGTGAAGTAGCGTTATAAATCAGGCATTCGGCGTTTTACTTTTATAGCCGTCGACGCGCTCGTAAATTGAACGCGCGACAATTCAACGCCGCCGCCGGTATCGGTTAAATTAAATTCCGGCGCGTATATCGAATTAGAGAAATTGAAATAAAATTAGACAGCAGATTAAGCAAACAATTAACAAAAGTAAACAGCGAAACGAATATTGATTAGTTCCCGTTATGCAGCCAATTATTCTCCGGGCTCTGCATTATTCAACGAAATATTTCGAAAGGTCTGCTTTTGGAAAGCGTCATACGATATTTACATGTTCGTTAAACATTGATCGCTTCCCAATCGGCCGTCACATCGTATTTGTACTTTTTCATTCTTTCAACATGTTTGTATTTTCAATTTCGTATATAACATTCTTGTATTTTCATTAATTTTATTAACTGTATTTAGTTTAAGACGTTTTTATTTTATTTTATTTACTAATATTTCAGTTTAACACGTTCGGTCGAACGTCTTCGGTTCTATGATGAATTTATCGCAGCTCGCACCGTCGGGCGCAATGTATCAAAATAATAATGGTACAAGGAGAATGGTACGCGGATAAGTAGAATGGCGATAGCCTATGGTCAGACCGCTGGAATAGGGACCACTTACGGTCAGCGGCTGAAATAGGGGTGATCTACGATCAAACAAGTAGAATAGCTGAGCCCTGTGATCAGACAAGTGAAACGGGCGTGGCCTATGGTCCCACGGTAGAGAGCGGGAACGACCCGCAATCAGAGAAGCGGAATGAAGACGGACATGGTCAGACAAATAGGGTAGCAGACTACGTGTGGACAAACAAGTAGAACAGGAGCGACTTCTCAGACAAGCGTTGGTAAACAGACGTTCAATCGACGACCAACGAAATTTGATTTAAGCGGAGTCGACGTGTGTACGCAACGTATGCAAATTAATTAACATGTTGGCGCAACTGATACGAATCGCAGCTAGATTTCGCACGAATGAAAATACAAAGAAATGGTTATTTGCAATGAACTCGTCGCGAAATAGGAACAAAAACGAGTGAAAATTGTCTCGAAATGAAAAGATCGATCTTTTTTATTTGATCGATTGAAACGAGTCAGTCTGAAAATATTTCAATATTATATATATATATATATATATATATATATATATATATATATATATATAAAATATATATAATAAAAATTTAGTGCATATATATATATTCGTTAATGCACTGAATGTCTAAATTCTTTTTTCAATGAATGTATTATAAACTTCCTGGCACACAAAGTTGACGTAACTTAAATACATAAATGTCTCTTTAAATATTCTTCTCGGTTTCAACGTTAACATTTATGTAACAACCGTGTGCCTAAATATTTGCCCGTGACAAAAAATTTTAATAATCCGCAACAAAATATCGTGCATTCTCGCTAAATCGTTGAAATCATCCGATCCGAATAATGGCACTTTCGAACGGCATTTATCGGCATTCACCGACAGGCACGGGTGTATTAAACTCGGATTTTATTTTAACGCGCTCGAACATCGGCCAGCGTAAACTATTGAACGAAGAATGAACAATGCACGAAATCATGTATGCAAATTTTTTATCATCGAAAATAAAAGCCTTTATGCCGGCGAAATATACAACTCATGTCCGAGGAGATGCCGGAATGCGATAGAACAGGCCTGTGCATGCACGCGCTGATGAGATATTGTTTGCGCAAACATAATACGAGTCACGATCGAACGCACGGACCGAAGTTACTCGAAACCTTCCGACCGAACACGGAACTCCATTATACGAAAAGAGAAAAACGCGCCGACGAACCTTTTCGTTGATCGCAAAAATTTCATCACGAATGCAATTCTCGGTAATGCATTTCTGTTTCAAGAACGTAACCCGAATCGAAATCTTCTTCATTCATTTCTGGTACATTAAAGACGGTTATCTTCGATTCTCCGATTAAATTATACCGAATTTAAGAAGATAAGAAAAGTGTGCTCGGTTTATTAATATCGTACACTCCTCTTCAAATGTCATTAATAAATCTACAGAGAATGGTGTCAGTCGCGATCGAATGTTACCCTAAATCTTCTTGCATCCTTCCGTTCTATACCTGAAAGAAATTATGACCGATTAATCGCAATACAGTAAATGTCTCCCTAATTAACGCTCAGATTGTGCACAAAAATGGAAAATTTGGGAAATGGAGATACGATTATTCGAGCCTTGCAGCTCGTTTTTATAGTTGTTAACAATCGATGACCATAAAAAACGAGTCACAAGGCTTGAACAATCGTATCTCCTCTTCCAAAATTGTCCATTTTTTTGGACAATCTGAGCGTCAATTAGAGAGACATTACTGTGATTCCAGCCGAACGGTGAAAGTAACAGAAAAAAGTACTGTTCTTTCAAATAGAAAATTCTCCAGAGTCTACATCGCTGAAATCAAGATTAATCAAGCAAAGACACTATTTTCCTCCGATTAATCTCTGTTCCGTTTGCCGAGAAAATGCATTCATTATTCGTTAACGTCAATAATTCCAGTTCGAGAGTCAAGGCTCGCCAGCAGCTCCCATTACAGTAATACCATCGGTACGCTATCCTTGATTAGATTCGAGCGTCCTAATGAGGCAAACTCTTCCGGTTGAAACAATCTATCGATCTGAAATGCATCTTGAAAGGATCCGTCGATTCGATAACTCTGGCATCGCCCCGCCTCGGCTCCGCGCCGCTCAGCTCCGCGCCGCTCCGCCCCTCGCCGGCCCGATAATCTCCATAAGATCCGGTTAGTTGAATTTCCTACGCCGCGATTACCATCCAATTAATGTCCGGCAAACATAATTCCTCGGTAGATTCTTATCCGGGCGGCGCGGCGCGGAACGGAGCGGAACGGCGCGGCAGTAAAGCGATTAATCGAGCGTGGGCGTCGCAGCGGAGCAGCTCGTCGCAAGCGGCCCGGGGCGATCAGATCCGCTCTCCCCCCCTTCTCTCGCAATCGTATTCTCTCTCTCTCTCTCAATCATACGCATTCTTTCTCTTTCTCTTTTTTTCTCTCAATCACTCCCCTTCTCTCTCTCTTTCTATTTCTCTCTTTCTAATCTCTCTCTCTTTCTCTCTCTTTATTTTTCTCTTTCTCTCAAGCACAGCCTCTCGAGATTTCTCTTTTTCTCTCTTTTTCTCTTTTTTTGAAGCATATTCTCTCTATCTCTCTCTTTTTCTCTCCCTCAATCACTCTCTCTCTCTCTTTTTCCTTTTCTCTCTCTCTCTTTCCTTTTCTCTTTCTCTTTCTCTCAATAAAGCCTCTCCATTTCTCTTTTTCTCTCTCTTTCTCTTTTTTTGAAGCATATTCTCTCTCTCTCTCTTCTCTCTCTCCCTCAATCACTCTCTCTCTCTCTCTCTCTCTCTAATCACACCCTTTCTATCTCACTTTTTTCTCTCCCCCAATCACTCTCTCTCTCTTTTCTTTTCTCTTTCTCTTTCTCTCAATAAAGCCTCTCGATTTCTCTTTTTCTCTCTCTTTCTCTTTCCTTCAAGCACATTCTCTCTATCTCTCTCTTGTTCTCTCTCGCTCAATCACTCTCTCTCTCACTCTCTCTCTAATCACACCCTTTCTATCTCACTTTCTATCTCTCTTTCTCTTCCCTCCTCTCTCTCTTCCTATTTTTCGCTTTCTCTCACTCTCTCTCTCTCTCTCTCCTTCTCTCCCTCGCTCTCCCTTGCCTCTCTAGTCAGTCTATACGCCATCGAGAACCTACCCCGTCCAGAGGACAAATTCGATTCCTTCGCCGCGCGCCGATTTCATTGCCCTCGCCGCTGATTCGATCAAGGCCCACGGTGAATCGCAGTTATAGTCGCCGAACTCCCCTGCCAGCTTTCTGTCGAGCCGTATCCGACTGCTGTCGCCGTTGTTTCTCGTGTCCCAGCACACTGAAAATACGGGCAAACGAGGGTTACATTGACAACGGCCGACACCGGCTCCACTGACACCGTTTCTGACCGACAAGAATCCACCGGAATCAGATTCGAACGGCACTGTCCATTCGCTGCTGCATTAGGCCACCGGCCATCGTTTAGTAACGAGGTTTCCTATCTCTCGGCTCAATCGTATACTTCCGACGATTTTAAGCCCTGGACCATTCTCGGCGTTTGTGCACGCTTCGAAAATTTGCTAATGATTCTACACATTTTATGCCGAAATTACTGAAACTGTGAGGGCTATAAACAGATTTAATATGTCCGATTTGATGAATAGAAAGTTAACTATGCTTGAAAACAAGTAGAAGGCGGAGCTATCGGTCACCCCACAGTAACCGGCTCCATTACCCTGCGTTGGGACAGAAAGGACGAGAGAAGTCTAAATAATAAGTCCAAAGTCTAAGTTTAATAAGTCTGAGTAATAAGTACATAATAATTCTAAAGTCTAAATAATAAGTTTAAGTAATAAGCAAATGATAAGTCTAAAGTCTAAGTCTAATAAGTCTAAATAAATCCAAATAATAAGTCTAAATAATAAGTCTAAAGTCTAATAAGTCTAAATAATAAGTCTAAAGTCTTAAGTCTAAGTCTAATAAGTCTAAATAATAAGTCTTAAGTCTTAAGTTCAATAAGTCTAAATAATAAGTCTTAAGTCTTAAGTCTATGCCTAATAAGTCGTAAGTCCAAATCTAATAAGTTTTAAGTCTTACGTCTAAGTCTAATAAGTCTAAATAATAAGTCAAAGTAATAAGTAAACGTTAAGCCTAAAGTCTAAGTCTAATAAGCCCAAATAATAACTCTAAAGAAGTCAGAACAATAGAAAATACAAGCACAACGTTCCCTATGATTTTCACAAACAAAGTAATAGACTAAACAAAAGGTATTCGTCCACCCTTTAAAACGCAACGACTTTAAAACTGGACTAAATTACCGGAACAAACAAATACCTTGCGGCGGTGGGTCGCGCACAAAGAAGCCTAGTGGCGTATGGATCGCTTTCGACTCGACTAATTCACGAGGACATATTCGGACAACAGCGAGTTCAGATATCAAAGGTGTCGATAAACGAGCTTCTACTCTACGCCGTTTCGCGTTACAAAACTGGGCGCATACGTAATACAGGCTTCCTATTCGACAAATGCAAACTTGAAATATCCACTGTCCATGTGGAAACCGTCAAAGTGTATATCCTCTTCGCCGCGCTGGCGTTACCGTCACCGCGGCTTCGGGTCGTCGGAGACCCGACCAAGCCCAACTGGTCAGTCTAAACAGTTCGACACCGGTTCCAGTGAATTCCTAGCAGCGGAGCCGGTCCGGCGGGGAGCTCTCGCCGGCAATTTCAGCGTAACCCGGACAAACGACCGTTCTTAGCCGGATTGAACGGCGCAGGTGAACACCGAATCGAGGGTGTGCGGGGTGCCGGTCGGGAAAATAGAAAAGCCGGGCGTCGCAGAGCGGGGCGTTCGCGCTCGAAATGCGGAGAAACGTCCGTCTTGAAAAAGTATTGCGATCGGAGACACGACAAGACGTACTCTTCGCGCAAAATTGATACTAAAGAGAAGAATTTCGCGCAAACAATCACCGTTTCGTTTCTCCGTGATCTCCGACGCAACGCGGACCGCGCTGTTTGCGCGGAAACTTTTGCGTGCCGGGGTTCTTATTAGAAAAAAGCAAATTAAAGTTTTAACTCTTTGCGCTCGGCAGACGACTCAGATTAACAAAGTTTAGGTTTAAAAAATTGTCGAAGGTGTGACGAGGCTCAATTTCGCATGCATAAAATGCACTTTGTCGAATAAAATGAAAGTACTGTAAGTCAGAGAAGTTATTTCAGATTTACAGTTGAAAGTGCTTCGAGCGCAAAGGGTTGACTATTAAGTTTCTTTTATTAAATTTCGACCAGATTTAGCACGACAACGCGTTAATACGTTTTACAAATTTACATTACGATATCTCAGCTAGAACGATTCATATTACTGAGTAATATTATTTAATCATTTTCACGAATATCGCGGAAAGTATCGCTAATTCTGTACCAAAAACTTCAAATAATTTTCGTAGTATCCGAAGATTGCGTTTAATTTCAACGAACAAACGATTGATTGAATTTAAATGAAAAAATTTGATAAATGTGCGATAAATACAAAGCCAATTATGCTCGAAAATAATCAAAAGGCACAGTAATTGGCCGCCTCACAGGCTGGGGTAGCCCCGCAGTATTTGAACACTAAATTCATGGAATAAAAAAAAGCAACTATTCTATATTAGTTTATAAAAGTAACAACAAGATATTTACTCTGACTTTTAACAAGTATTATCGCAACATTTGCTGCAAGTAACATATAAATACAACAAACAACTCACAAATATATCCTTACAATACAAAATCAAGAAAACTAATAAAAATTAAAAAAATTAAATACAAAAATTATTGACCCGTCATTCTGCTGGGTTCCGTAAATCTAGTGTCACAATCAGGAAATACATTTTCCCGCGTATCGGGCGAAAAGGCCCCGGCTGCGCGTCGCCCGAGGGAGTCGCAAGGGTGCTGGATTTGGCGACCTTCGAGGCGGGCGAGCACGGCCGACGGTCACGTGCAGCCTAACGCCGAAATGACACGGAGTTGGTGTGCAGGAAAGGACAGGAAATAGGGCGGGGGAGACGCGGTTAGGCCAGCGGGGTCCGCCGGTATGGGACGCAATTTGAGGTAGCGCTGTTTCATGCAAACCTCGTGCCAGCCAGACACGCCAGGCACTTTAAAACGATCGGTAAATAGCGGCGGGAACGAGCAGAGAGGATATAGGCCCGATGCGGGGAACACACCGGAGGCCGAATATAAAAGAGGCCTTCGTTGCCTTCGCTAGTTTTCGCGAATGTTCCGAAGGGGTGGGCGGACGGGGTGCCGCGCGGAGGATGCGTGTACATGCAGGGAGGCCGACCGGCTGTCGTACAACGATGGAACTACTTACTGCTAGCTGCGTTTCCCTGGGTGGAATACCTCGGATCATAGTGGATGTCGGTGATGTGCCAGAAATACCCTGCAAGCAGAGAGAAACGAGGTCGTGCGCCTTCCGCGTTTCGGCTTTTATTTGCATCCCGTCGCGTCGCATTTGCATTCTGTGTTTCTTTCCTACGGGTTAGCCCTGTAAACTGATGTAACGTCGGCCCGGATGGACGATGCCGGCGGTGGCGACGGCGTCGAGAGAGCTACGGGGGAACGGGTTAGGAGGGTGCACGGAGGGGCCCGCCGCCACCGCCGCCACTGCGAGCGCTTTGTCCGTGCAATCACGGAACGAAACGAAACGCGGCCGTGTGTCCCGCGGAAAAGGACAAGGTAGACACGGGTTAAAGCGAGCCGATCCCCTTGGAAGTGGAAATTTCCGGGAGACCGAGTTGAAATTGAAATGTATTCGATTTCTTGATGTAGCCTGGATTGTTTTAAATTAACCGGGCCGAGGCGGTCCGCTCTGCCCGGGGCGGGGCGCGGGGGGTGGGGGGGGGACCGGCCGGCTGAACAAGGCGGGGGCCACTTTGCAAGGTAATTAGAGCGGAGATCGATCCGATACGGAGGTTAAATTTATCAAAACAAATGGAAACCGTAACGGAATACGAATGCGATCGGTACACGCGACCCTTGATTGTTTTATTCGGCCGGATTCTTCTTTATTAACCTGTTAACTAGACCCCCGACGCGCTCTTCCAGCCGCGATGTTTGTTTTCCATCGGAACTTTTTACCCGGACCCGCGGGCGTGCTTGTTTTCGACGGAATTCCCGCGGTCCCGTTCATCGGTTATTTCGGGACTTTCGAATTGGGAATTCGATTAATTAGCCGACGGGATTCGATCGGGCGGTGTTTCCTTTTATTTCTGGCGAAGTCGTGTGTACCTTCTTACGGAATATCCGGTTCGACTTTCTGGAAATATCTCGAATCGATCTCGGGATCGATTCGGCGTATTTTTCGTGATATCCATCGCTGAAATTTGGCATCGTAATTTCTCCGCAATTCGCGCTCGGACTGCGCACGAAAATGCAGAAATTTGGGAAGAGGGGATGCGATTTTTTTGTAGCTATCGATTGTCAACAGTTGTGCGCGATCTGAGCGCGATTTGGGGAGAAGTTACTGTATTTCGATTATTCGTCTCCGAGCTTTGACGGGGATGTACAGTACCGGGCAAAAGTATTCGGACACCTTTTAACCTTTTGCAGTCGAGTGGCGACTCTAAGGCGCCACTAAAAATTGTTATGTCACGTTTGAAAATAATGATAACGTTATCAAATTTTGTTTATGAAACTTTTAATAGCGTAATTGTTGCACGAGTTAGAAAATTCTATTTCATATAAAATGGAAACACTAGGAAAACTATTTTGGATTTCGAGTTAAAATGGCTCCGACTGCAAAGGGTTATAATACATCAACTGTCTTCAAACTGGACTAACTGACTTGAATTTATGTTTGGATGGTCTTGGACGTCTACGAGACGATGATTGAAATACTGTCTTTCGATTTTGCTGTTACTTGAAATGCTAAAAAACGTGCCGATTTTTATCTTTCTTAAATTAGGAGTTCCTTTGTCATTTCACGTTATGACAAAGTTAACTATTTTATGTCGTAAACTATATCTACACATATTAAATGCTTATTATGCACTGGTAAAATCAACGAAGCATTTCAACCAGCACTCGATTAAACACAGAAATAAATGACTGTACCAAATGAAAGATGCGCAACACTCGGTTGAAATATCGTTACTCGGGTCTGAAATTGGCACATGGGGTTTTACCGTCGTTTCAGCGATATTAATCGAACACTTACGTAGCGGCAACTTGTTAATCCCATCCATAATTAACCGCGCCGGGAATAGTTAACGTACGACTGACGAACCAATTGCGGGGCGTGCGCGTTCAAAGAACGCCGACCCATATTCGGCTCAACTTTCCACGTTTTAATAATCGACTGTGGACCACGTGTGTGTATATATTTGCGTCTGTCTGTCTGTCTGTCTCTCTCTCTCTCTCTCTCTCTCTCTCTCTCTCTCTGTGTGTGTGTGTGTGTGTGTGTGTGTGTGTGTGTGTGTGCGTGTGCGTGCGTGTGGCTATGTGTGTGGCTATGTGTGTGACGTACAAGCAACATCATAGGTTAAACATTTATATACAGGGTGTCCCAGGTTTTAATGTTCAAACTTTGTTAGTGTATTCTATGGCACAAAGTAAGAAAAAAATGTTATGTAAACATAGGCCATATAGAGCTTTATTAACAAGTTATAACAAAAATTCAGAATAGGAATAGTAATCAATTCGCTATTACTGCGAGCATTGGCTTGAATAGATCAGCACATGCCGTGTGTTTATGTAAGCTGTGTTTATTAATACATTTCGAAATGTATTAATAACCGTTGTCGACAATACATGATTGACATCGATCGAAGATTTTTTTTATTTTTTATTTTTTTTTTAATTGATTACTATTCCTATTCTGAATTTTTGTTATAACTTCTTAATGAAGTATGTTTACATAACATTTTTTTCATACTTTGTGCCATAGAATATACTGACAAAGTTTGTACATTAAAACCTGGGACACCCTGTATATATGCATACACGTACACGGGGGCACAATGATTCTCGCAGCTCGGAGCATGATGGCATACGGCCGGCTAATGGCGTTCTAACGGCAAGAATCATTAGAGGATTGTGTACAATGACTCTCGATGAATCGCGATGTTTCTAGGGCTGATTAATTCACCAACTAACCGAAAATTCGATTGAGCCGCGTAAATTGCCGCCGCGTTATACTTCATTTGCCTGCATTTACATTCCGAATTCGAAGCACGCTATACCTCTGCAGGATGTTCCCGCGAACTATCGTTTTTTTTCTGGATTATTACAAATAAACCGAGACAAATTTAACGGGGTCGTTAAACAATTTGCGGGCTTCGAAACGATCTGTCGTCTTCGATCGGGACGAGGTATTATACAATGTTTCATGAGAATAGAATTTCTAATGAGAACACAATTTTTGATGACTCAGTGAAAGCGATCATTGATGATTTATCAGCTCTAGAAATTCAATAGACTCGCCTTGTTTAATTCGTTCTGTACAAAAAAAATCTCTTGTTCATAAACGCCACTGTTCGTACATTTTTTATATATCGCCGAAACAATCGCGAGATCGCTGAACTTCGAAGCGATAAATTAATGCCGACCACTCTCTAATTGCGTTGAGTTGTACGCTTGTACATTATTTATCCTGAGCAGTCACGGATTATGGTGTACTTTCAACCGTTTCTAGCATAATTTGCAGCATATTTTTTATTTATACTTAACGAATTAATCGTATTAGAATTTCGATTGCGAGAACGTTCGAATTAAAAATTGATTCTTATCAAACGTCACACGGACCCTGCTAACAATTGCTGACAATTAATTAACGATTAAATAACAATTAATTAATCAATAATTAATCAACGGTTAGACAACCGTATGTATTAGTATCGAAGAATTCAATTCAATTAGACGGGAACAGCAGCGACCGGCAATTATGCATCGAGCCTCCTCTAAATAAACGCGACATGTATTTTCTCCTGGTCTCAGCAATTAATCGCGAATCACTTACCGATCTATTAATAGGGCCTCCTCGTTACGATAAAATAACTCAGCGCGTCCAAACGTTTATCTGCGACCGACCATTACAAAGTACATAGTGTATCGAATAATCAGGGCTCGCGTTGCCATTGTGTCCGAAACAATTGCGAGAGCGTCACACGATCTATGATTGCTCACTTTAGATAATGCATCGCGACCCGCGTTTCTACTAATTCGGATATTTATTAAGCATCGCGCGCGCCGCAACAACTCGATCCAATTAGAAAGGTTGGACGGTAAATGTGCGAAAAGTACAACCGTGCTCGAAACAATTTTCAACAGCATCGAAACATTACTTTCATTACATTTCTCTCTTTAATCACTTTTATTATTTCCGTTAACCTCCATTTTCCCATCAATTTATTATACTTCGATCCATAATTTCGATTCAATTACGCCGTAATTCGCAATTCATTTAATTCGATCACTCAACACAGCGTTTTGTAATTATACTCCGGTTACAATTGCGAATTGCGTTGTGATTTAATTGAACGGGGATAGGAACTTCGAATTAAAGTGTGATTGAATTAGAATGCGACCGAGTTGCAGCAAATTCTCCCTAATTTTCCTTCAGCTTGTAAACAAAAATGAACGATTTGGGAAGTGAAATTGTTGTTCGTTCGAGCCTCGCGGCTCATTTCTATAGTTACCGATCGTCGACAATTATAAAAAACGAGGCACTCCAAATTAAATCCACCCCAAAACTACGGAGAATTTACTGTACTTCGTAATCATAATTACCTCGAGCAGTTCGATCAAAGCTATAGTTTGTGTTTGTACACTGTACAGAACGATTCAAGCAAGTTGACAGGTCAAACCATGTCAAACCGATGTCGTAGATTTGCACATCGACACCTCGCAACGCCGTAAAAAGATTACTGTAACAATAACTGCAATATTGCTACGAAACGCGTAATAATTTCGAAGAATGCGAATCGAAACAATCGCCTCTTGAGTTTGGCTGCCAGCAAAATTACAGAAATTTCTCCGTAAAAACATTATTGTAACAATAACTGCAATATTGCTACGAAACGCGTAATAATTTCGAAGAATGCGAATCGAAACAATCGCCTCTTGAGTTTGGCTGCCAGCAAAATTACAGAAATTTCTCCGTAAAAACATTATTGTAACAATAACTGCAATATTGCTACGAAACGCGTAATAATTTCGAAGAACGCGAATCGAAACAATCGCCTCTTAAGTTAGGCTGCCAGCAAAATTACAGAAATTTCTCGAAGAACGCACGAATCTCGGCGAAATACAGTAATGTCTCTCCAATTGACGCTCAGATTGTCCACGAAAATGGACAATCTGGGAAGAGGAGACACGATTATTCGAGCCTTGCGGTTCGTTTTTATAGTTATTGAAGAATAGAATAGAAATAGAAGAATAGAAATAGAATTGTCAACAACTATGAAAACGAGAAGCGAAACACGAATAATCGTGTCTCCTCTTCCCGAATTGTCCATTTTTGTGCGCAATCTGAGCGTCAGTTAGGGAGACATTACACTGTAACATCGAAAAATGGCGAATGTTGTTTGTTCGCGGAATCAAAACATCGTGATCACGAGCATCGGTTTGACAACGGATACGCGACGATAGGAGAGGAGATCTGGGGCGACGTTAAAGGTCAGCTGGCACAGTTTCACGTACACACATGCACGGATGGATTTACCTATTTTCCCTTGCACGGCGCACAGCCACGAGAGCAGCATCAGATAGTGGCGGATCATCATTCCGGGATTGGATCTGTAATCACGTAATGGCCGGTTAAAAACCAGGGGAAATTCGGTAGCCCGTCTAATTTAGCGGGAAACGTGCGAACGATCCAGGCCAACGATAACTCCCCGTTGTCATCGAAGCGAGGAGGCGCCGCACGCGCGCGCGCGCCCACGCCCGCGCGCGGATTAACATAATTTCGTGAAGCCCGGGAAACCGCCGGCCGAGCACGCCGGAGTCTTATGAAATTTCATGAATCCCGTCCCCGGGTGCCCGCCCGTGCCGCCGCCATCCCGTTCGCGGAGCTTTCAATTTTAATCTAAAATTTCATTTCGAAGATCGACAATGCGTGTTGCCGGGGGCCCGTTACGGCCGCGACTCGATAGCCGAGAAACACGGCTCGTAAAACAGTTTACAAGGCTCCTTCGGCTGCAACGGGACCTCGTAAAAACGTCGGCGAACCAATAACGTTCGGCCTGGATCGTTCGACGGCGCTACAAAAAAAAAACTGACGCAATTCGTGAACCGTATAAATACATAACTACGGCGACATCTTGGGAAACGATGCCCGCACGTTGTGCACCCAATGCTGAGCGGGCACCCAACGCTGAGCGGGCACCCAACGCTGACGCCGCCGCCGCCGCGAGATTCAGATTTACGCTTGCAACATGAAGCCCCGCTGAAATCGCTGTATTCGATGTGAAAATGATTGTCGTTGTAAGTTGTATTTATGTTCGTCGCGTTTATTGCGAGGCAATTAGCGGCCACGTGCTTTACAATTAATTATACGTAAAGAATTGTGTTCTGAATTGTAATTGAAATTTATATTGACAAGAGTAACTATAACAGGACAAGTCATATAGATCCGTGGATTTAAAGAAGAGGAGGATTTTCTCTATATTGTCATCGTTTAACAATTGACAAGCAAATAATAATTTTTTTAATTTTTTTGGGCAAGAAATAAAGATTAACGAATAAAATGTTATTCTCGACAGTATCGAATGAATATCCAATCGAATAAAGGTTGATCGAGTTGACAATTCATCGAGATAGCAATCGATCCGTGTGAAAAATTCTTCGAATAAGATTTCATTCGAATATGTAAGAATGTATTCGTAAAGTATTTGTTTCACGGAAGAATTAATTCAGAGAACGATCGACTCGATTATAAACGGCAGAACGTAAACTGTCACTTTCATAATTTATCGATCATTATCTTTCCAGCTAATCTTCAACGACGCGGCCATTTTTTTCTATTTAATAATTACACCCCTATAAATATTCATCGCAACGCTGAATATTTTATTGGTCGATTAACTGTTTGTTTCGAGAGCGTGTAGTTCTTTCGCGATCCAATCTACAAGAGCAGCTAACGAAGCCTTCGGGCTTTCGTGACCGCGTGCAGCCATTTTATTTCAAATTTTCACCCTCGATGGATTCTAACGTTAAAACCAGATAATCAGCCGCGATCATCTGCGTCCACCCTCCTTAACCCGCAATAACTTCTGGCTAATAAACTCAATCTATCTTTTCGTACGTTCGCTTTATGTGTTTTTAAAGCGGCCAGTTATCGGCTTCGAAATATATTAATGGTAACCCCATCAGCTGGCCGATGCCAGGCATTAATTACGATCGACCGGTCCACGAATCGATCATAAATGATTCTCGTGATGTACTTTATAATTAATAACAGGTTGTTAAAAAATAAATTGCTCGCTGTCGAAAGAAGGAAATTATAAAGAAGAAGTCGAAAGAAGAATCGTATGAAATTGTTAGCAAAGAATGTGACTGTAAAATATAAGTTGTTGATGTAGATACAGGCTTCTGGTTAATAATATTAAGAGAGTGTTTTCCTCCGTTAGCAGAAATATTGATAACGAAAGAAGAATCGTATGAAATTGTTAGCAAAGAATGTCACTGTAAAATACGAGTTGTCGATGTAGATACAGGCTTCTGGTTAATAATATTAAGAGAGTGTTTTCCTCCGTTAGCAGAAATATTTATATGGATTCAGGGAATTATGTTTTCATAATTTAGTAATTTCATAATTACATAATTTCGTAATTTCATAATTGCATAACTTCATCATTTTAGAGTTCGTTAAAACATTGCTACTTCCTGTATTCCAGAATTATTCAAGGAATATAAAGTGTCAATGGCTCGAATGAAAGTTAATGTAATAAACGTTAATGTTCTCCAAGTTGCATAAGCATCGTTGTATAATTTATGAAAAACCTATAAGTTATGTATCAACCGAATTGCAATTAAAGCAGAGCAGTAGGATCACTCGTATCGGAGGCATGATAAATCGTCTGCCATGACTTATTAGTAAATTGCAACGTTTAATATGTCGCCGTTTCACGTAGAAATATTATTGTAAGCAGTAATGGAAAATAATGTGTCACTTATCTTCCGCATAACTTGGCTGATTAAAGTTGCTCATGGAATTAACTCATTACGTTCAAGTCACGAAATATCGTAGAAATTTCGCTGCACACACAGTCGCGCACACATATTCGCACATACACACGCACACACATACACTCGCTCGGTGCTGTATATAAATATTATGATAAGGTCTCTCGCAGGGGTCTGAAATACTTTGAGAATTAAAATTTTTGTCACTAACGTTTAATCTCGCACTTCCCATTAGAGCCAACGTCCAGATAATAAAAGGCAAGTTTTACGAGTATTAAGAGCATTAAAATTCTGGAAGAATTTTATCGTGAAATTGAAATTTTATATATGCCCGGCTTCGTGAACGTTGTCCGAATGAGTTCCGTGCGTTCGAGACGCATCGAAAATTATAATTATGCGCCGAAATTGGCGACGCGTTGCCGGTTCGTTTCCGCGATACAAATATTAAATTCCTACGTTTCGCTCTTTCGTTCGCAAAAGAATGAAAAAAAAAACAAATGAAAGTTCGCGAAACGAGCAAAAAGAAATTACGATACATTATTCAAAATAAATTAACGTGCATCATATGAAACAGCAAATACGTATCGATTTTTCTCTTCGAATGAAAATTGCACGCAACTTAATTGGATTATTCGATCGGAAAAACGGAAAACGTAATACGATTGCAAACAACAACACCGAAACAACAAATACACATACGATATTTTTCTGGCTTATCGTAAATCGTAACAAGAGTCCGGTTCGCATGCATTTTAACGACGCATATTTCATTCTATTAAATCATCGCGGACAAGGTATCCGCGGATTCGTAGGGCTATCCGGAGATTCTTTTTATAAACTTTCCAACGTTTACGAACGCTTAAGACGTAGAGATTCGTTCGGCTCGCGATCGAACGGCGAATACGTCCAGAATTTATGCCGGCACGGAGGAACATGCGAAATAAATTATAAAACGCAGAATACACGGGAATATCGGAGATATATTGGAATACGCGGAATAAATCAGAATACACAAAACACGTTGATATATAGGGAATACATTGGCGTATACGTAGAATAAATCAAAATATGTAAAACGCGTCGGAACATGCGCGATGAATCGAAATAATTCTATTTAATTATTTTATCGCTGTTCGTGCCTTCGGCACGTTTAAATGTTTTATACGCGATCCCTCTTTCCCGCGTTCGCGCCGTGCATCTTACTTGTGCCAGGCACGATGAAACAATGCTCGGAATCTATTAAGAACACGGATATTGTTCATCGAACGATGAACATTGTTTAAATTAATATCGATACGATTTTTATTTCAACGGTTACGTTCGATCACAAACGGTGATTAATATTCGCAATTTTACACGGATGGAATTATGTTCGAATTTGATGAACGGGCGGAACGGGCGTTTCGCGTTATTTGTTCAATTTGAGTTCGAAGGAGATCGAAAAACGTTTAATCGAGCACATTAGAAATCCGACGATAATTTTAACGGTCATTTCGGACCGTTTGCGAGCGCGACGGCACGCTTAATAGACCAAATAAATTTCTGTTTGATCCGAGGTCCCCCTGTCAATTAGCCCGCGAAAATCTATATTTGGGTAACCAGCCGCGGGCTAATTATAAATCATCAATCACAACGGGGACAGTTCGTCACAAAATGTATCCGGAGCTAATAATAATTTCGGCGCGTGTTACAGAGCGTAAATTGCCACGAAAAAGGAAACTAATTGCTGGACGGAATTATACGGACACGGTGGCGGCGGCGATCGTTGCTCAACTATGCTATATTTTCTCAATGGATAAAATTGATTATCGCGGCCGTTCGGTTCAGCTGGCACGAACGTTAGGCGACCTCATTTGAAATAACGTAGACGCCATTGCATCTCGGGAGAGATTGGTTCAAGCATTTGAATAGTGCCAATAGATCGCCGAGTCTATTTCATGCATCATTTGTGGGTTTCCAGTTTTCCCAAAGACCTATTGAGGAACTGAATAGCCAATGAATAATGATGCATTTATTAGGTTCGCTCTAAATTCAGCCTGATCGAGAACCTACTATTCACGAGCATGCCAGACAATTCTATAATTGACCCAATTACATCCTCGAAATACACGATTCCGCAGTCTCGTTCATTTATACCGTGCCCTCCATTTATTTCCAGGTTTCAAACAGATTCGATAGGATCCTGCGTGACATCGTCATTTAATCCTGTGATACGGAACACATGTCTTCTTTTTTTTCCCTAAATTTCTAACTCGTCAAAATACAGAATTCCAACTCTAATTCAGCACCGAAAGATGTCTGAATAATGAAGTTTAAAGAAAAAGCCATTCAAAGTTCTATTTTCCCAATTAATAATTTGGTTCTCGAAAACAACGAATCAGTTTTTTCGCTAAATTTCGCACAAATGTACATTGAAAAATATCAAATAAAATAGATGGAAAAATACAAATAAATATATTTAAAAAAAATCTATACAAACATACGTATTCTAGTATCTCAATATATTTCCGCAGATACGCGCAAAGATTTGTCGATATCGCATTGTCCAGATAACAACAGTGTTTCGTATGAAATCGTAAAATATTTTCTTGCTTTTTGTTTTCGATTGTCCC